CGGGTGAGAAAGTGCCGTAAGCTCGGAGTCGGCTTCGGCTATGAGTATAGAGGAATTGTAATATTGAAATAAACTTCTCGGGCACACCTTTCGGAGAATGGCAGCGTCAGAGTTTAGAGTGATGGACTGAGTCGAAAGTCGCTGTAAGATCCAGGAAGATAGATAGACATGGTGGGTCTACGAAAGGAATGTCTGTTCTAGAATTTGACGAACAGTGAAGGTGTGGTCGATACAACCTCGACCAGGTTTAAAACCAGCCTAGTTCTCACGTGTGAACTCCTTTCGTGGGGAAGACAATCGCCGTAGTAAGATGCCCGCGAGAAGTTTAGAAGCACTGTTGATTATACTAATTAGTCTGTGGTTTTCACAAGAGGATCTGTCACCTTTCTTGTAAATCGGTGTGATTATCGATTCTTTGCTTTCAGCTGGTACCTGTTCTCTCTGCCACACTGAGCCCTGGAGTTTCGTTTGCTCCGAAACTAATGTTAAACCTCCATCGTTTAAAAGAGATGGATAGAGGCCGTCTGGGCCGGAGGCCGTATGCCTTTTGAGATAGCTTATTTCCCGGGAAACCTCCATTTCAGACGGAGGACTGGCATCGACTCACAGAATTTGCGCATTTGCGGTGAAGGGTGATAGTTCATCTGTCCGTGTGAGCTAGTTTAACTGGGCCTCGAAATGTTCAGCCCATCGACCATACCGGCGTTGTTGATCGTGAATCAGTCTGTCACGGGATTCCTCAATTAGCTCACGCTTATTTTCCTAGGACCCGTATTCCTAATTAGACCAAAAGGATTGCAACTAATACCAATTGCCGCATCCTTCCTCTCCTCTCTACATTCTCCTATCCACCACTTCTTGCGGTCATTCCTCAGGCTCTTGATAAGCTGGTGTCTGAGTGATTTGCATGCTGTGTCGTGTGCGGCATCAGGAGGAAGGGTTCTGCGGGCGTTCAGCGGGGCAGTCGAGATCGATGAGATCCATCGTCTATGTTTTGAGTCTGCGTGAGAGTTAGACTTTGTTTTTGGTAATAGTTGCATAGCCTCCTTGATTTGCTTCCAGTGTTCATTGAGTCCTTCGGCTGTTGGTTGAACTGACAGGCGATCAGAAAGTTCCGCTTTGAATGCTGATTTGCAACAATCGTTGACGTTGTAGCGTAGATATCCATTTTCGGTGGCTTTTTTACGGATGTTTGCCAGGCGTAAGGAGTTTTAGCTCAGCAAAACTTGGTCCATATCCACAGGTGTTGACCAGTCAGAGTGGAAGTCTTGAATCGATCCCCTCCAGCGGTGACTGATAGCGATGTGGTCGATTTGGGTCCAGCGCTGTGAATGCGTTGGCGGTTTCCATGTAAGGCGGTGTCCTTTCTTGTGCGAGAAGTTCGTGCTTGACAAGAACAATCCGTGGTCGGCACAGAGTTGAAGTAGGCGGTCGCCGTTGTCCGTCCGGTTGGTTGGGATTGCATGTGGTCCACCAAGAAGCTTTTCTGATTCATCCAGGGATCCCACTTGAGCATTGAAGTCTCCAGCGATTACCACGATGTCCGTTGATCGAACGCATTGGAGTAATCGAGAAAGATCCCTGTAGAATTCATCCTTGATTTCAGGTGTATTCCAATCGGTCGGTGCATACACCAACACGACGAATGGACATCGACGCCTCGTTCTGTAGCTGTTGACCAGCCCTGAACCATTGAGACGTACGGCGCACAGTCGGCTACTGACTGGAATCCAGTCAAGAAACGAGCGTTCAGCCTTAGCACTTAATGCCTAAGGCTTCAGGGCACGACATACTTCGCGGTAGCCCACACCGACGGAGGGGTTTTTCTTTGGGAACCCTAACCGGAGCCTTTGACTCAAAACTCTGACCCACAAGGCAGTGGGGCCTAAGTCCAACGCGGGAGCGTGAACGAAGCACCCGTGTGGGAGCTTCTGGAGACCTGTCACACAAGGCCTTTGAATTTCGGGTTAGTTTGTTGTTCGCTGGTG